GGAACTGAAAAAAGAGATTGTTGAGAAATATGAAGGTGGCATCCATGTTCAATATTTAACTGTTGCATACCGTATTCCATGAACGACAATATCGGCAATCGTGAAAAATAAAGACATTATTAAATCTGCTAAAGTTTCAAAAGGGGTTAAATCAATTTCTAAACATTAGATCATGCTGAGAAATTGCTTTTGCTTTGGATAACTGAAAAACAGTGTGCTGGCGACAGTGTATCAGAAGCAATTATTTGAGAGAAAGCTAAAAAGATACATGCTGATCTCATGAAAAATCAAGCAGGAACTAGCCAGGAAAGCAAGGTGTTTAAAGCCAGCCATTTTTTTTACATGAGAATGGATTAATCATTTTTACATTACTTCTTATGGGAAAGGTTGGTTTGGTATACGTCCTATTCGGTATAAGTCCAAACATCAGGAACCGATTAAGGTCATATACCGAGGTTCCACTGTACTTATGTACTCACCATAGTTCTGAGACTGTAATAAGTATACAGTCTAAACTGAAATAAATAAACAAACATTTTTGCTAAATACACTTTAATTGTATTTTATTAAATAAATAAATAATAATCTTAAAAAGAAAACAAAATTTAAATTTGATAAAAAAACAAAAAAATTTTTTATTTAATCGTCTTTAAATGATGATATATTGATTTACTCTTATTGTAGCATGAAGTTAAGAGCAGTGGGCTCTTGGATTTGAAAAAACAACCCGATAATTTAATTACCAATAAAAAGCATTTTAAGATCAACAGGATGTTTATTTTCACATAAGACATACAGATTAGAAATTTTATCTGTTAAATCCAAAGTTTGTTAAATATAGGTCCATTAAATCAAGGTTTTACTATATTTACTTTTAAAATTAAAATCAAAAGCATTGTCTAAATATGCTTGACGCTAGAAATGCTTTCCATTACCCAATGTGAAATATTCATGTAGGAATGTCAGAAATTTAGTTTCCAGCAAAGTATATTCTTAATTACTACAAATTTATTTTTTCTTAAATAAAAATATGCTCTAACATAAAAAAAAAATTAGAATAACATATGTGATATTTTATTTGATCCAAAATGTTCCTATATTACAATCATGCTAGGAAATTTTGTATCTGATTAATGTCAACCTTCCAAGATGACTAAAAATGTTAAAATGGTAAAGGTGTAAGCCTGCCAGCAGCTGATGTGTTTGTTGTTCAATTTGAGTTAGAATTTCAGAAATTTGTATTGAGATTAGATCATTTTTAAATTGGGCTCTACCATGTAGTTATCCCACATTGCAAGTCTGGCTTGAAAAGAGGTTATTTGCAGAATGGAAAGAGTGAAAAATCTTGCAACTAAAAAATAATGATTTTTATTTTTTATTACATCATCACTAAGGCTTACATTTTTATACAGTTAAAACTGTGTTCAATTCAACTTTAACTTTGTGTGAATTTTAATTATCTATTATTTGTCAATTTAATGAAGTTTTCCTTCAAGCTGTTTTAATTGTTACTTCTATGGTTGTGTGAAAGGATAAGAAAAGACTCGAAAAATGTTTTGTAAATAGTCTTAACCTTCAAATTCATTAAATTGTATTTTCAAGAATTATTTAGTTCTATAAATTCAGTCTACTCATGTTAATATAAATTGTTAGGGAAACAATAGTTAGTTTGCTTTATTGAAAATCTGTATTAACAATTTTTGGGGTCAAGATTGTATAATTTAGAGAGTTGTTTAATATGTGATCAAAATCTCTAAATCGTAATATTTTGAATTTATTTACTAAATAAATTTAAATTAAATAAAATTAATGTTCTAAATGATTTCTCTTCATTTTATTTGATTTGAAATGCTTTATTTGTCCTTGAACTGTGAGGGCAATATATCAGAGTGGTTAGACAAAACAAAGCTAAAACAAATCTGTGATTTTTTTTCTGTTGAAAACTGAGAAAGTAAAAAATATTTTTTAGTGTCAAAAGAGTAAAAAAAAAAAAGGAACCAAATATAGCATCACTGTATGCACTCCTTGATATGCAAACTAGTACATGTTTACATGGGACCACATCCATTTAAAGGTGTGTGTGTGTGTGTCATTAAAACTTAAACCCCAATTTTCTGATAACAGTAGAATGTAGAATAATTCAAACATCTGGTTCTAGTGGACCAATCAGAGATCAAAGCCATCTTTGCTTACTAGGAGAAGAAAATCTATTCAATTATATTCAAAATGGAACATTTTATTGTTCATGTTGAAAAGTGTAAAAAGCAACCATTATTGGAAATAGGTTATTTCTTGGGGGTTATGAAGGTAATTTAGAGTAATTTAAAATTTAAAAAATTTGTACATTTTTTTTTGCTTGTGTGAAAACTAACATTGTGACAATGGCATTTTTCCAGGGCAATTGCAAAATTTGCTTTATTGGTGTTCATTTTAAGGCAAGTTGACTGTATATATATAAATTATATAAAATAAATTTGTTTCTTGCTGTTATTGTTTATATTCTGTTTTAATAAATACTTTTCACTAATCTACATGAAATCATCAATTTGAATTAATAACCTATGGAGACTTAAAGAAACTTAACTACTGTATTAACTTTAAAAAAAAAAATTAGTATTTATTTAATAAGTTAAAAATTTATTTTAAGAATATATGTATTTTTATAACCTAGATGGGCTTTAGCTGAAAAATATGGTGCTTATTTAATAAATGAACCAGAATTAGTTCGAAATATGGTGCTACAATTACGAAATCGTATACCAGATTCAGAATTCACTACTTCGTTGAAGATTCGTATTCATCATGATATTAGGTAAGTTAAAAAATTTATATTCTATAAAATTTGTTTAATAAGTACTGTTTGAAAAACTGTTTTTTACACATGACAATATTCTATAATTAAATTCATTTGAATATTTGGATAATTAGTTTGTGATGAAACATATTTCCTTTCTTCATTTAAGAACTGATTAATTTTGTATATAAACCTTCATCTCAACATAGTTTGATTGCCACATATCATTTTTACTAATTTAGTTTCTCCATTTTGTGTTATTTTAGGAAAACTATAGAATTTTGTCAGAGAGCTGAACATTGTGGTGTTTCATGGCTAACAATACACGGAAGGACTATCGAACAGCGAAAAGAACCTGTAAATTTAGAAGCAATCAGAACAGTTGTTGATAGTGTTCGGATACCCGTGCTCGGAAATGGTGACGTATTTTGCTTAAATGATGCAAAAGAAATGCATGAAATAACTGGTGTTAAAGGTAAATTTTTAAATTAATAATTTGTTGATGTAGCAAAACTATTGAATTATTTGAATTATTATTTACTTTTAAATTTTGATAGGTGTTATGTCAGCAAGAGGGATACTGCAAAATCCTGCAATGTTTGCAGGATACAAATATACTCCTAGCACATGTATAAAAGATTGGTTGGATATATCAATGCAACTTGGAACTCATTTTACAACGTTTCATCAACATTTGATGTTCATGTTAGAAAAAATTCTTCCTAGATCAGAAAGAAAAGTGTTCAATGTATTAACAAGCATCTCTTCTGTGATAGACTATTTAGATAAACATTTTATAAATGAAGTTGATTTACAAAATGGTATTTTTTAAAATTATCAAAAATAAAATTTTTACAACTTTTATTCTATTTTATCACTACAAAGTTGTTCTTGTTTTTGTAAAATTTTCAAAAAGTCATCATCATCTTTAAGAGAATAACACAATGTTACTTTTTGATAATAATCAGATGCGATCTCTAAATTAGAAATTACTGAATCAACAAGATGTGCTCTGTCTGCTTTTGTTCCAGGAATATTAGACATCAGTGCTGTGAAATGGATATGCAAATGATAATAAGATGGTTGATAATGTAAATAGGAGAGAATCTGCGATGGTGGAATGTCGTACTTCTCTTTAATTGCAACCTTTGAGGAAAAAATAAATTAATTTATTAATCTTCAACAATAAACAGTAACGATTAGTAAATATTATACAATTAAAATTCTATTTGTTAAATTAATATTTAGCATAGCAATTTCTATGCATATAATAATTATGTACAAAAAAAGAATAGTTTCTCATTTCAATCTGTTAATTTTCATTAAATATAAATATTACAGATCTCACTCGTAACATTCTAATTCATTTCTGGAAATCGTATGAAACCACCATTGTAAACAAATTATTCTGTTTTCTGTAAGGACATTATCATAAATTGAGACTGTCTTTGGAAATATGTATTTAAAACTATAATATTAGAGATAAGCACACTTTATATAACTCTAGTGATATAGTTTTAATAAACCAAACTTAAACTTACTAAGATAGGTCTTCTTCAGTTGGAATAACAAAATTTGAATGAAAAGAAAATATAAATAATAATTTTTTTATTTTTTTGTTGAATTTAAAATTTATGCATGTTCAAATTTTATTTAAAATGTTCTTTTCATTCTTTTTCATTTAGGTCCTTTACTGGAACAACAAAATTTTTTTTGGAAAAAAAAAAAAAAAAAAAAATGAAAATGAAAACAGTTTTTGGTTTATTAAAACTTAAAACTAACTTATATCACTGGAATTATATAATGTGGGCTTCTCATTTATCTTCTCCAGTTTATGCTATTATTAAATAGAGATAATCAATTATAAAATTTGACATTTCATACAGTTATAATAAAAACATTATAAAATAAGTTATATATATATTTCATTTATTTTACTTTGATTATGTATTGATATAAATTTTAAATCTATTGGATATATAGTATAGTCACTTTGGTACTTGTCTAAACTGATAACTTATCCTTTTAATATCACATTTATAAATAGAAGAAATTTGATTTCATTAGTCTTATTTACTTGCTTTGCATAATGTTCAGACATTTTTAAAATGTCTTATAGGCTTATTAATAAATAATTCATCCAGTACTGTTTGTCAGCTACCAACTTCAATAACAGGTAGCACAATGACAGCAATTTAAACCTCTGTATTGTGAGCAAATAGTGATTGAAACAATTAATATAAAGCACTAGTTAAGACTGATAGCACAAAAAGCCAGCAGACCTACAGTAGAATATCATTTTAACGGATCTCTTTTGACTGCCAAAAATCATCCATTGTTCTGAGACACTGTTATATAGAGAACAACAGGTTTATATATTACATATTCTCAATTTCATCACACCCACAAAAATATGTTATTTAACCCTTTATATATAAAAAAATACATGTACAGTCGACCCCCCTATAACGTGCGTTCCTATAACGTAGCGAAAAAATTGCAGCAACATTCGTTTAAAGGAGCTCCTAAAACGTCGTCGCCGACTCGTTTCGCGACAAGATTGATAGAATCTGGACCAATAGTGAATGAGCAGCCGAACTACTTTCCTCCGCCCTGCGCCACGCTACGGAGCGGCTAAATTGAGTTTGCTATCGTCTGTACAGTATTATATATTAATTATATATAAATTAGGTACTGTATATATAATTATATATTAACTTATTGTAACTTTATTATAATTAAATATATAATTTCCGCTGTCTAGCATGGCGCCACGCTACGGAGATTTTAGGCAAGAAGTTGAGTTTATTATCGCCTGTACAGTATGTAAATTAGGAACCGTAAGTCTAATACAGCACTAATTTTATACATTTCTTGTGAAAGAAACACTTCTTATTCAATGGCTATAAAAATTATTTATATTAATGATGTCTCCAAAGGTCAAGTTATTTTTCTGCGAAAAATTCGTTATCAGAAATTGCGGCCACCATTTCGTGTGCTGTTTTGCGACGAAAACAAGCTTTGAGCAACGGCGTAGTCGAACGGTACACACTCGGTAAGTAATCCTATACTTTTTTGTTTATAGCATAGTTTATACAGATTATTCCCAAAAAATTATACGTGTTTTGGAAATGTTGAGTGGAATTAGTCTAGAATCGGTTAATTTTATAGAAGAAAACCTTTCAAACAGCCTTAGTCCGTAAAGTTCACACCTATTGGGCTGCAATTGGCTCATATATTTAATCATTCCTACAATGTAAATTTCGATTAATGTGGAACGTATCTAAGCGTTATAGGGGGGTCTACTGTACTTGAAATTATTCAGTCTCTTGAAATCTCTATTTTTTATTCTCTAGAAATATGTTTATTACAAGATTGTATATTGTGCCTTGTGTGTACAATAAAGCTGACAGAAACTATATACTGTGTATACTGTTAGACAAAAAAAGAGGCATTACATAAGCTCATTAGCAATGTTATCTACAGCCTGTTCATTTATGATGAAACTTGTTAGGTCTTTGTGACTTGGGGCTTGTTAAATTTTGGCACTACGCTTGGACCTGCATCAGAATGTTCATTAGGTGGGTCCTCTGCTGATTTTTTCGTACAATTCTTCAGTTGTACTGTATATATCCCAGATGTAATATGCTCATCATTGAACTCTATAAATTCCAAAATATTAACTAAGCATTGAAAAATGTAATATATACAATAGATGGGGCTAGAAAAAAATCTGTTATTCCGAGTTACAGATCTGCTAAAAGGAGGAAAAATTAATTGATTTGGTGGGACCTGGGAAAAAAATTTATTCCAAGAAATCCATTAAAACGAGATACTACTGTATTTATCCAGAGATGACAACCAAATTCTGATAACAATATGGAGAATCTACTGTATGTTTAAAAAGATGATCATTTGTAACAGAAAACTTTGGCATTTTTTATTTAATAATATAATAATTACACATATGCATACATACACACATACACAACAACCCATGAACAGAAGTATGGAATATTTTGTAATTGTGGGAAAATTATTTTGATCCTTAAATAATCAATTGACAAAAATATTGAACTTTTAACAATTGGCAAATATATTAGACATATTAAAGTATTTACACACCAAACATCGTAAAGATATTTGCATAAATTACAAAATTACAGCATTTTAAATAAAGTAAGAGTTGAACAAAAGTATGGAATACTGATGATTAATATTTTGTAGGGCCACTTTTTGTCTTAATTATAGCCATAATTCTTTGTGGTATAGTAGAAATAAGAAAAATGTTTTTAATGTTCTGAAGAAAATGCTGTCTAAAAAAAAAGAGTTACAATCACAGAAAAATTAACGAAGACAGTCAAAGAGTCATGGTCAAAAGTTGATCCAGAACTGTATAAAAAAACTTATTTCTGTGTAAAAATTTCTAGTNCATAATATTTAAAATTATTAAAATCTAAGTGATAAAAATTCTAAAGATTTTGTCTGAAAATCTGTCAATATAATTATAATTAAATATAGCTTTGTAAAGAAATGTACATAAAAGTAACATAAAATATTCTTTACTTTTTAAACCTTAAAATAATCCACTTAGTCAAATAGCTCCCTACCAGTAGCTAATGGATAGAATCATTGGAAGCATTATATGATATTTTGGTATGTAGCATCCACCGGCTAAACCACCAAGTTGGTGCTCTGTAAAGCGCATGTGTGAATGCCTGTAATCTGGCTGCTTTACATCATTCAGATATTTTTGCCATGGAAGCTGTCCCATAATCTACAATACAGCATTTCCATTGGGAATATGCATAAACGAATTCATTTTTGAATATACAATAGCAATCTTATCATTGTTTTTCACATGTATAATAATTTGTAATAAAATACATAATGCAGTTATAATAAAATATTAATTTTAAGTAATTCAAAGTATGTTAAAATATGAAAATAATCGCACAATAGGTATTTATTTTAGAAAATATATGGAAAGTGGCACTTCCACAGCTTCCGTGGATGGCATGTCACTGCTAATTCAGGTGAGGGAGTCTGTATTAAAGCTGAAAGTCTGTCATATAATAAAGTAGGGTTTCTAATTGTACAGTATGTGTTAAAAAATGGCAAATTAGTTAGTTTATCTGTTTTTGCTTACACAGATATGTTTGTGTAATTACAATTAAGTATATACAAGAAGTTTAATTTCACAGAAAAGTTTTCTGTATATATTATTACAGTGGTACCTCGGTATACATCTGCTTTAAAATACATCCAATTCGGAATACATCCTGTTTGGACGAAACAAATTTTGCTCGGTATACGACTTTTGTTCAGTATATGACTTAATTATACGTGCCATCTATGAACAAGTAGCACAATCAGTGTACTAGACCAGACTAGATGTTTGCGGTGCCACGGTTTATAACTTTGTTAAATTTCTTCTGATTTTAATTTGTAAGTAAAATTTTATTATTTTTATTAATCATGAATTGCAAAAAGGTAAATGAAAAGCAACAGAAAACTAAAAAATGACTAGAATAACAATGGAACTGAAAAAAGAGATTGTTGAGAAATATGAAGGTGGCATCCATGTTCAATATTTAATTGTTGCATACCGTATTCCATGAACGACAATATCGGCAATCGTGAAAAATAAAGACATTATTAAATCTGCTAAAGTTTCAAAAGGGGTTAAATCAATTTCTAAACATTAGATCATGCTGAGAAATTGCTTTTGCTTTGGATAACTGAAAAACAGTGTGCTGGCGACAGTGTATCAGAAGCAATTATTTGAGAGAAAGCTAAAAAGATACATGCTGATCTCATGAAAAATCAAGCAGGAACTAGCCAGGAAAGCAAGGTGTTTAAAGCCAGCCATTTTTTTTACATGAGAATGGATTAATCATTTTTACATTACTTCTTATGGGAAAGGTTGGTTTGGTATACGTCCTATTCGGTATAAGTCCAAACATCAGGAACCGATTAAGGTCATATACCGAGGTTCCACTGTACTTATGTACTCACCATAGTTCTGAGACTGTAATAAGTATACAGTCTAAACTGAAATAAATAAACAAACATTTTTGCTAAATACACTTTAATTGTATTTTTCTAGGAAAGGCATTTAATACATATCTACTACTCTTAAAAAT